CCTCCTCCCACCCACCTTCATCCTGTGGATCTCCGCCTTCATGGCTCGGATCTCCGTCTGGCCCGTCTCGGAATCCACCGATGCACGCATCTCTTTTGCAAGCTGGATTTTTTTCTCCCAAAGCATGATCTGGTGTCTTTAAAGGCGGGAGAGGCAGTGTGAGAGAGGGCGAAATTAAGGGGATTTCTTTCTGAGGCTTCTGTGAGCCCATGCTCTTAAGTGCTCGCTCCAAATCGGGACCCAGAGCAGGTGGGTGGAAGGCAGGTCTGGGGTGGGCTCAGAGCAGGGGGCCCAGTGCCTTGGACCCGGCTCTGTCTCACTCCCACATGGCGTATTTAAATACCCAGGCACCGGGTGATGGGCTCGACTGTTAAACAGAAACAAATTTCCCCTGTTCTGGGACCAGCAGGCCGACATAAAACCCTGGGCCAACGTGCCCTCTCAAGTTCCTGCCAGCCCACCCAACCCAGGGCAAAGGGGGCAGTCGTGCCCTGGAGACCAGAGTGGGACCCGAAGCCCCCTGAGTCTCTGTGGCCTGGCACCCTCGGGGAGGGTAGAATTTTGCAGTCCTCCTCCCTCTCCCCTCTGTGCCCCAGAGCCATGCTCCTCACACAGTGCTCAGGGGCAGGGGCAGTCTCTCCCCACTACGGCACCCGACGTGGGCTTGGAGGGCAGGTGTGGCTCACAGGCTGGGCCTCGAAGGCACCCAACTACCTTCCCAGGAGTGCCAAGTCCACCTTCCGGCACCCTGGGTGGGGACGGGGGGCCACCATCTGGTTTGCTAGGGACCAAGGGGGGCGAGCACGGCAGGAGGAACCTGGACCCACAGCCACAGCCACGGCCACGGCTAGACCAGCTGCCAGCAACGGCCTCTCCTGCCCCACTGAACAGGGTGCCCCAGCCACAAATGGCTACGGGGCGCTTGAACTTGGCCGAGTCTGAATCGAGATGTGCCAGAAGTATAAGACACACGGCAGATTTCAAAGACCGCGTGCAGAAAAAGGACGTAAAATTCAAATGACAGTGTCCACCAATAGATCTACTGGAGCACAGCCACGCCCGTTTGCTACGTGTTGTCCGCGGCGGCTCACGAGCTGCGACGGCAGACTTAAAGTGGCTTCAAACAGGGCTGTGCGGCTCCGAAAGCCGAAAACATTTACAGTCTGGCTCTTTGCAGCAAGGGTGTGCCAGCCCGCGATACAGACAGACCGCGGGCGTAAAAAGAGAGACGGAGAGAGCGGATCAGGCAGCTGTAGGGGAACCAAGAAAAGAACACGAACGTGATAGGAGTTGACGTAAGAAAAAGCCGGCACAGGCCAACAGCCCAGAAGCTACTAGGATATTCGCAAAGATTACGGAATGAGTGAGTCACGGGACGGAAGGCACAGCGTAGGGGATGTCATCAGTGGTGGTGTAACGGCGTCGGGTGGGGACGGCCCGCAGCTACCCTAGTGGTGAGCACAGTGCGCACCCCTGGGGCCAGCGGGACACCGTGTGTCAACCACACTTCATTTGGAAGAAAAAGTTGCGATATCAGCGAAGACCTACGCCCGTGCCCCGGTCTCCACATTTGTGTCCCTCGCCACTCCCCCTGACGCCCCGCGTGACGGTGGTTGAAGGTGTCACCTCTGGGAGGGGCTTAGGTCACGAGGTGCAGCCTCACCAATGGGACGTGTGCCCGCAGAGGAGAGGCCTGCGGCCACACAGGGCGGCTCAGCAGCCCAGCCCCCACTGCAGGTGTCGGTCCACAGAAAACACGTGACTCTGCTTCCAAGGGCAGCATAGAGAACACCCCCATTTTTGTTTAAAAGGCAAGCAGAGGGGCGCCTGGGTGGCTCAGTCGGTTGAACGTCCGACCTCGGCTCGGGTCAGGATCTCGCGGTCCGTGGGTTCGAGCCCCGCGTCGGGCTCTGTGCTGACCGCTCCGAGCCCGGAGCCTGTTTCGGAGCCTGTGTCTCCCTCTCTCTGCCCCTCCCCCGCTCATGCTCTGTCTCTGTCTCTCAAAAATGAATAAACGTTAAAAAAATAAAAAAATAAATAAAAATAAAAAGCAAGCAAAGACACGAACACCGTGGGTTCCGGTAAGGGAAGGGGGTTGGGACAACAACGTGACTTTCCCTGTCTGCTCTGCACAGATTGTTCTAGCGTAGAATGCTTACAGCTGGGGGTGGATTACCCTGGCCGTCAGACATCACAGCAATAATGTAACTTTTAACGCTTGTCCGAAAGAGCCACTCGCTTTCCCCCCGATGACTGGCTTGGCGAGGGCGGGCGGCCGGAACCGTGTGGTGACACCAGGTCTTTCCTGGGACACCCCCCCCCCCGCCCAGTGTTGGCTCCAGAACCGCTCCCCAGGCAGGTGTAGTGGACGGTGGGCGCCCCTGGGCTGCAGGGGCGGTGACACCACAGTGGCACTCACTCCGCCTCCACCAGGCTGTTCAGCATGGCCGCCTTCTCCTCCTGGAGCTGGTCCAACCTCTCCTGCATCTCGATGGTCTCCCTCTCCGAGGCCTGCGCGGGGACAGGGGCACGGCCGGCTGTGGGTGACGCCAGGGGACGCGAGCGCCCACCCACGCGCCCTCCCTCCGCCAGCCCGTGCCCTCGGGCCCTGACCTTCAGGGAGCCCACGAAGTCCTTCTCGGTCACCAGGTTGTCCTGCTGTAGCTCCTCGGAGCTGCACCGACTCCTGTTTGCCAGCACGTTGATCTTCCTCAGCTCGTTTTCCAGGCCCCTTATGTGGCACTCAATCTCCCTTTGCTCCTTCTTCTCCTGATCGATCTTGTCTGCGGCAGAGGGGACGCGGGGGTAGCCATGTCCCCAGAGAAGCCCCCGCTCCCCATCACAGCCCTGGCCGCTCCGTTTCCGAAGCCTGGCCCTTTGAGGGAACGGAAAGGACCCCTGTATGCGGACGGCCAGCAGGTGAGGGGACGAGATGGTGGGGGGCAAGCCCCCTGCCCTGAGAGTAACCTTGGGGACGTGGCTAGTGCTCCTGGGTCTCCCGGAGAGGTTGGCTCTGCCCCCTACACCAGCCCGCCCAGCTCAGGGGCAGGGGTTGGGGCAGAAAACAACCACCCTAATCTTCAACAGTGGGATTTGGACGACCCCAGGGCGGGCCAGGAAGGCAGCAGGACCCCTGGGAAGAAATGGGCCCCGGGGGGCACCTGGGGGCTCAGTCGGTTAAGCGTCCGACTTCAGCCAGGTCATGATCTCACAGTTCATGAGTTCGAGCCCCGCGTTGGGCTCTGTGATGACAGCTCGGAGCCTGGAACCTGCTTTGGATTCTGTGTCTCCCCCTCTTGCTGCCCCTCCCACCCCCCTCAAAAATAAGTAAACATTAAAAAAAATTTTTTTTAAAAAAGAAAGAAAGAAATGGGCCCCGGGCCACTTAGCAGCATTTCCCGTGGGGCCGCGTGGCCGGGCTGACCTGCGTGGATCTCTGGTTGGAGACCACGTGCGACCAGGTGGGGGATCAGGGTGCCTCAGCGGGGGCCCCGGGGAGGGGGTGGTGGCCGGGAAGGATGCCCGTCTCACCCTACTGGACACTCCAGCACATTAGAGACCCCTGGTTTTTACACCGTCTGGGAGCCCGTGGTGGGACAGGTTTTCCAGGTTCTGCCGGAGAGTAAGAAAGATTCCCCATCTCGCAGCCCCGAGTTCGGGGCACGAGGTGTCCCCCCCCACCCTGCCCCCCAGAGGCAGACCCGCTGGGAGCTGCATCTCTGCGTTTCCAGTCACGCTGCCCAGCCTTGGGCAGGATGGTGGGCCTTCCACGGTCCTCTCTCCGGAAGCACCCTCCCATCCGAGAACTGGACAGATCCAGTGTGCCGGCCGTGGGGCTGGCGGTCAGGGCAACAGCTCACGTTTACGAGAGGTGCCGTGATCCTTGTGGTTTCGTGAAAAGTAGGCGGTGGGTCCCCCTCCCCGGACGCCGAGCGCTTACTTTCTATGCGCAGTTTCTTCTGCTCCAGGATGTGGACCTCCTTCGTGAGCATATCCAGGGAAGCCAGCTGCTCCTCCCGCTCCTGGGTGACCTTGACCATCTCCTGCTGCAGGCGCAGCCAGGTCACCTGGGCCTGTGTCACGCTGCTGTTGTTCTCTTCGATCAGCTTGGTCAGCCGCTTGATTTCGAGCTCCAGAGGCCCCACTTCTTCTCCCTACGAGGGACGGTCACAAAAAAGCAAATTGAGCCTCCTTGTTTCCAGAGGGGTGCTCTCCGGGTGGGCAGGGGAGGGGGCCAGGAGATCACACATCTGTGCGAGGATGACTGGGGACGTTTCATCTGGGGCACCGGGCTCCCGCCATATGCCCCCCTGACCCACTGTGGGAGACACGGGTCTCGGGAGGCCTTCTCCACCACGTCACAGCCTTGTGGGGCCAAGGGCAGGGTTGGGGGAACTCCGTCATCCAAAGGGGCTTTGCAAATTGTCTTTTTTTTTTTTTTTAATTAAAAAAAATGTTTATTTTGGAGCGAGACAGAGCACAAGCAGGGGAGGGGCAGAGAAAGAGGGAGACACAGACTCGGAAGCAGCCTCCAGGCTCTGAGCTGTCAGCACAGAGCCCGACGCGGGGCTTGAACCAGTGAGATCGTGACCTGAGCCGAAGTTGGACGCTCAACCGACCGAGCCCCCCAGGCGCCCCACCAACTTGTCTTTTACCAGCAGACTGTCACGGGTCGGGGTCTGTACTCTCTTAGGACCCGTGTGGGTTGCAGCTTTGATAAGGCTCCCTGGTATTTGGGGTCTCCCATCTTACTCCCGGACCGGAAGCCCGGAGTTAGGGCCCCAGGCTGGGGATACCTGGGTGGCCAATAGCACTTCAAGCCTCAAACTCATCAGACCCCCTCACGTAGAGCAGTGGTCTGAGGGTCAGATCCCACCCACTGTCTTTGTACGACGAGAAAGAAGAAAATTGTGTGCCAGGTGAGAGTTACATGGCATTCACACTTCAGGGGCCATAAATAAGGTTTAATTGTGCACATCCATTTACTTAATCGCCTGCCTCGCCGGCCGGGACAGCAGGGGTGAGTAGCTTCGGCAGCGACCACCTGGCCTGAAACGTTTGCTGTCGGGCCCTTGGCGGAAGGAGGTCCGCGGACGGCCCCTGACTGGGGTCGTGCCCCGTGGGTATGCCATTTCACCCGTAAAAGGGGCGGGGAAGGCTCAATTCTGAACCTAAGGAGTTGCGGAGACGGCCAGGCACAGACACCGAGCAGGGGCGGCCTCTCCCGCCCCGAGGTCTTACCCCCAGCTCGGAGACCATCTGTTCCAGCTGCTTATTGAAAAAGTTGATGAGGCCCTGCTTCCTCTCGATCAGGATCGTGCGCCTGGAGATCTCGTTCTCGCTGTTGGTGATGAGGTCATTGACTTTTTTCACCTCCTTGTCTAGCTCGGCCAGAGTCTTCTGATGGGCGTCCAGCCTGCAGTTGGTGTTCGTGATGTCCAGGGTGGTCTGGGCAACGTTGCCGTCAGTTTTGGAGAGATGTGTCACCTGAATTAGCAAAAGGAAACGTGTCTGAACGTCTCTCCCCCCTGGGTGGGGGCTCCAGATGAGCTGGCCGGGCTGTCATTTCCTTGAACACCTGCCACACGGCCAGCCTTCCTTCCTGCCAGTCTTCACATATAAGCCCCCTTCCTCACCCCCAGAACCAGAAACCCCCAGAACTATCTACACATAGATTTGTAAGCTCCTTTTTAATTAGCTAAAGCGTGACTTCTATTGTCATGTCATTGTATTTTAATGTTTATTTTTGAGGGGGGGGCACAGAGCACAGTGGGGGAGGGGCAGAGAGACAGAGACAGAATCCGAAACAGGCTCCAGGCTCTGAGCTGTCAGCACAGAGCCCGACGCGGGGCTCGAACTCATGAACTGTGAGATCATGACCTGAGCCGAAGTCGGCCGCCCAACCAACGGAGCCACCCAGGCGCCCCTGTTCTCATGTCATCGGTCAGGAGCTGCAGCCCATGGCTGAGCGCCTCTGTAGGGCGCGCCCGCTGTCCTGAAGGTCTTGACCAGCTCCCCCTGCCTCTCTTGTTGGCTCTCAGGAGGATTCCCTCCATCTCTCCGGTGACGTAGAGTTTACTGTAGGGATATTTATAGCAGCAGGCGCGGCCGCTCAGGCTCCCTTTGGAAATGGGGTCTTTTCCCTGGACCATGGCTGTGCCCACCACTCCTGCCCACGTACATCCTCAGCTCTCTCCCTGTCCCCGTCTCCTGTTGACTCCCCGTCCTCTGAGGTGCACCCTCTGACCGGCCACTGTGGGTGGCTCGGCAGGACACCCAACGTCCCTCGGTGTTAAAGCCGGAGCCTGCCCAGCAGGGGCAGAACCTTCCAGCACCTCGGTCACCCAGATCCCCGTGGAAATGCTCCCGAACCCTCCCGTCCTCTGAGCTCTGGCTAAGCCCCCGGTCTCTTCCTTTGCCGAGACCATCTGTGGTGCCCTGGTCTTCACAGGGGCTCCCGCCTCCCACTCTGCCCCCGAGCTTGCAGCCCTATGAGATTCCAATTCCTAAGTCCCCTTGTGGTCACCAGCCAGACGAGCCAGGCTCTCTGGACTCCCCCGGCTCTGCTCCTGGACCGTTCACTCGTGTTGAGAACGCCCTGGCCTCTCCTGGGATGTCAGTACTGTTCCTGAACTAACTTGTAGACTCTTGGTTGACCCGTGCCTGTCCGCCCCCTGGGCCCCAGCTCCAGATCCCAGGGGGCTTTCTGAACAGTTTGGCAAAAACACCCCCTTTCAGGAGCAGGACTTGGAACTCTTGGGCAATCGCGATGGACAGTTGAGGGACCAAGACCCTTTACTGCCCTCCGCTGGTCATCGGTGATAGTACATGTGCCACCTGCAGAGGTGGCTGGGGCCCCCCCTGCATCCTCGCAGGAAGGCTGGCTTCACACGCACCATGCTCCTTAGCTTCTCCAGGACAGCGTGGGGCCCCTAGTTTTGCTCCCAGCAGGTAGTCTTGCCCCCAATTCCCAGAGGAAGGATGAATGGAATGCCCCCGGCATCAGACAGGACCTCCTGTGGACACCCAGCCGAGCCCCGTCTCCCCACTTCTTTGGTGTAACCTGGCCAGGAGCAAGCTGCCCTCCTCCCGGGTGCCCGGGAGGGTGGCGTGCCTAGGCTGCCGGCTGGGGAGACAGCAGCCCTGCCCTCCCGGAAGGACAGGCGAGCCCCACCAGCCGGGCCTCCTCCTGGCCGGTATCCACCTGACAGCGATGGCGATCAACCGATCAATGGCCGACATTTAGGGGCACGGCCTCTGGCTCCCCAGCCACCTTGCACTCATTGTAATAAATGCTTAGATTCAATCCTCTGACACCTGCCAAGTTTCTCGTACGAGGAGAGAGTGAAGGCAGAGGCCAGGATCGCGCGGGAGAGGGACTTAATGCTCTTAGCCTAAGGCCAGGAGGGGCCCACGGTCCCCTTCATCTCCCGCCCCTCAGATGGAAGCTTCTGGTAGGGGCTGGAGAGCAAGGCAGGCTGAGTGGGTCACCTCTCCTCCTGAGACTCGAGTGGGGGCCGTGGGGCGGGCCGTCTGCCGGGATGGGCCCTAGGCCTGCTGCAGGCCAAGGCAGCCTCCGGGGGGTCCCCGGGGGGCCCACACCACGGGAAGGGTCAAAGAAGAAGAAATTTAAGTATAGAATTGCTTTTTGAAGGACACAGGGACCCATGACCACAGCTCAGAGTAAACTAAGACCCCTGGAACAAGAGAGAGGCCTTGTCGGAGGGGGTCCCAGGCCCCGATGGCCAAGCCTGGTGGGGAGAGGCTCTGGAGGCTCCCACCCACTGATGACACCCCTACCCTTCGACCCGGGGTTTCCGCTGTAGCGCTCTCTCCTCAGAAGTGTGGGACAAAACCCTTGGGCAAGTCCGTTCGGTGCTGAGTTGTTTATAGTACTTAAAACCTACACGTTCGTATGATGAGACGTCATGCAGAAGGGAAAAAGGGAAGTTTCTGGAGAATATTTCACGGAAAATGGTATGTTGCGCGTGGCCTGGAAGCTAAATAAAACTGTATACACACGGTGAGAAGATCAGCAGAGTCCTTTGCTTCTTACCTGCGCCCTTGTCTCTCTGCGTCACTTTTCAGTAAAACTGACGACAAGGGAATAGAATGGACTGAAAACTGACACACGGAGTCCTCTGTTGTTCAAGGTGTGTGCACGTGTGGGCACACACGAGTGTGTGTGCCTGTGTGGGCGTGCCGGCTCGTGTGCGCGTGGGGATGTTTCTATGCACGTGTGTTTGCGTGTGTCGTTGTGCGTGCACGTACTTGGTGGCGGGTGCGAGCGTGGGTGTTTGGAAAGAGTTCCAGAAGGAAATATACCAAAACGCTAGAAGAGGTCGTCTCTGGACGGTGGGGTTATTTCCAGGCTTTTCCACCACCAAATGCTTGCTTTTAGAACTAGGACCAAGTGGAAAGTGAACGGACACGCCCAGGGCCCCTTGCTCGCCCCGCTTCCTCTGCGCGCGATCTGTTCTCTCTGAGAGCCGCCGCCCCGCCCGCCAGCCCAGGCGCCCGTCCCTCACGGCCACGGGCGAGCGGTGGCGTACCAGGTTGGTCTTTTCCTTCTGGAGCTTCAGGATGAGCTTGTGGAAGCACTTGGTCATCTTGTTGGAGGTAATGTGTTCCTGCAGCTTCTCCGCGACGGAGGCATCTGTCCTCCTCTTCTCCTCCAGCTCGCTCTGGATGGTCTGGTGGACGGTCTGCAGTTCGCCCGTGGCCGTCGCGTACTCCTGGAAAGAAAGCCGCAGGGGTGGCGCGGTTGGGGAGGCCGTGGGGACCGGCCCTGCGGGGTGGGGAATGCGGTCCTACCACGTGGGCCTGGCCCAGCGCGGCCTCGGTGTCCTGCAGCACCAGCTGGTAGGTGTTGAACTCGTTCTGTAGGGTTTGCTGCTTGGCCAGGCACTGCGTGGTCAGCCTCTGCGTCAGGCTGGCCTCCGTCTCCGTGCGGTTCAGGACGCCGGCCAGCTTCTCATTCTTCTCCTCCTCCTTCACGATGGATTTCTTGTAGGCCTCGATCTCACCGTCGATGGACGCGATCTGGTGCTGGCACTCGCTGCCGGGATCGAGAGAGCAAAGCCGGGGCATCAGAGGGCCCAAGCGTGTGGTGGTGCCCGCTCACGGGGGGCTCCCCCAATGGGGAGGGACGAATGGGAAACCAACCGCAAATAGCAGCCAGACTCGACTGCTGCTCCCTAATGTATTCACAGAGCCCCTGCCCACTTTTGAGTTTAAGGCTAAGACTCTTCTGAGATGGTGAGTACAGGAGAAGGGAGGGAGGGGTTGGCGTTGTCCGGGGGCCTCGTCCGCCTGCCCTCGCTAGGCCCGAGAGCCATCCTGGAAAGGGGGTGCGCGACTCCAGGGTCATACACGTGAGCACTGGAGCTCAGGTCACCGGACTGGCTCGCCCCACGGCCACAGTGCCCGGCGTGGCTGGGAGGCCACCGGTGGGCCTCGCTCCAAACTCTTCTGTTTCCCCCCCACACCCTGGCCGTGGAAATACCCGCAATGAACGTCCATTCACAAACACAGGTGCCGGAAAACAGAAGTGGAATTTTCGTTTGCGTGCGAGACATTTTCCCCCCTTTGTTCTGAGATGTCCACTGACAGCATCTTATCCCTTGAAAAAGTTCTTATTCAAAAAATCGGAAAGTACTTTCTCCTTGAACCGGAGTAACGCCCTCCGTGTCTTTTCCTCACGTCTGTCCCCAGGCCTCCAATTCTCTTCCCCAAGCAACCAGCTATTTCTTACATGTTTTTCCAGATCTATTCATACTTACATAGCATTATGTTTGTCTGTGTCTAAGAAACAAACAGTAGCCCAGTAGATCCCGTTCTGTCTTAATTTTCTTGTGTCTTAGAGACACTAAATACCAGTGCACATGGAAATCCCTCAGTTCTTCTCAGTGACCAGATGGAACTCTAAATGATGACTGGGCCCTAATTTAAGAATCCTCACTGAGGGGCGCCTGGGTGGCGCAGTCGGTTAAGCGTCCGACTTCAGCCAGGTCACGATCTCGCGGTCCGCGAGTTCGAGCCCCGCGTCGGGCTCTGGGCTGACGGCTCGGAGCCTGGAGCCTGTTTCCGATTCTGTGTCTCCCTCTCTCTCTGCCCCTCCCCCGTTCATGCTCTGTCTCTCTCTGTGTCAAAAATAAATAAACGTTGAAAAAAAAATTAAAAAA